AGAAATTAAAGATTAAAAAAAAAAAAAGGAAGATCAGACAGTGACTGCCTACCTTCATTCCAGCAAAAGAAACTTTGAGCCTTACATCCAGAAATTTTCTTGACTGATAGCCTTACAAACTCAGAAACTGGTTTATAATTTACTCTGATCATTACCCTTTTTTCCTCCTGTATTCATAGACCTACACCTTATTAAATACCTGACTGCTTGCATACACAATATAGGCCTCACTTTGGGAACCCATGTGCATCACAACCCCTGAAATGAGACTCAACACATTTAACTGAACTGAATTATTCTCGAAACTGAATGACTGAATCAACGAAATATGGAGCAAGCTACCAACTTACTAGTAGCTTCTAGAACAGTGATGGCGAACCTTTTGAGCTCGGCGTGTCAGCATTTTGAAAAACCCTAACTTAACTCTGGTGCGTGTCACATATAGAAATTTTTTGATATGTGCAACCACAGTAAAACAAAGACTTACATTTTTGATATTTATTTTATATATTTAAATGCCATTTAACAAAGAAAAATCAACCAAAAAAAATGAGTTCACGTGTCAGAGGTGTCAGAGGTTCGCCATCACAGTTCTAGAATGTGGAAAGTTTATTATTTAAAATTTGAAAGGCAAGACTTAAAGGACAAAAATTATGCCAACCTGAAGCTGCTTTTTGAATATTGCTTTAAACCACTTATTAAGAAACAAAAGCCCTAACCGGTTTGGCTCAGTGGATAGAGCGTCGACCTGCGGATTGGAAGGTCCCAGGTTCGATTCCGGTTGAGGGCATGTACCTTGGTTGTGGGCATATCCCCAGTAGGGGGTGTGCAGGAGGCTACCCCCACCCCCACCCTGCATCCTTTCCTGCCTAAGATACTGATAGAGAAAAACATGCTCCGGGAAGGGTATTTTAGGGTGCTGCCTCGCCCTAATTTGAATTGTGGTAAATAGGAGGGCTTCAGGCACCTGCCTGTTGTCTGGATACCCACTGCGTCCCACTGCTTATGAGTGGCCTTGGGGGACTTTCCTGCCCAGTGTGTTCTGCTCCTTTTCACCTGGCCCCTTCTCACTTCTAACATACCCCTTCCCCCGCCTCCCCCTTTCCCCTTTGTTTAAATAGTTTTATATACCCAATGTTGGCTCACTGTCTGAGGATTTTCATGGATTTACCATGTCTATGTGAATCCCCCATGCACACGTAATAAACTTTTATTTTTTCCAATTTAAAAAAAAGGTCACCCTGACTGGGTAGCTCAGTTGGTCAGAGTGTCACCCTGGTACGCCAAGGTTGCAGGTTCGATCCCTAACCAGGACACATGCAGGAGTCAACCAATGAATGCATTAGTGGGTGGAACAACAAATCTCTCTCTCTCTCCCCCGCCCTCTTCCTCTCTAAAAATCAATAAAAAATGTCATTCTGATTTTTGTACTGAATTATTACAGTCAAACAATTGTAAACATAAAACTTTCATAAAAGGGAGCCTTTCTTTCAAAACAACTAACTAAAAGATAAACAATTATTTAAATTTAGAAGTATGTTTCAAATTTATAGTAAAAAATGTAAAATAAGAAATTTAAATTATAGAAGATAAATTTGAATGTAATTGGTGTTTCCACATGTGTAAAATGACAGTTTGCAACTACAAAATTTCTGAAATCCTGGATAGCTCAAATTCTAAAATTGTATACAAATTCCTCAAACTTTGAATTAAATATATTAGGTTGTTCAAAACTTTAAGATAAGCTTATTCTGATCATTCAAATAACCCTGAAATGTTAGAATACTGATAGCTGCATCCTGTAAATACTCCATCAGTACAGTACTGTTTTCAGACTTCCTGTTAGCATGTTCTGAATAAATGACGAACAATAAATAACTATTTTCTCTTACTTGGACTGCTAATATTAATAGCATGCAACATAACTATGTAGTTGTAAAAGGAGGAGGAGCTGTAAAAGGCCCTATAATTATAGATTCCTGAAAGTCTCATGAATATATGAAAAACATTATTAGCTAAACAGTGGGTATCATGCCAAACAACTGAATACATTACCTGAACTTGTGAAATATTTAGATTAAATAAAATCTGAGATATTTATCTATACACAAGACAGGCGGCACCACTTTGTAATCTGAATATTACTGTAAATCTCCTTTAGCTAAATAAGGAGAAAAGCCTGACCTTGGTACCCTTCCCTCGTAGCTCTGTCACCTTAGTATGCACACTGCGTATTTTCCATGTACTGTAAGAGAGATGCACTGCACAGAAGTGTCTGTGGGAACAAGATTTTATCTATAATGAAACTAAATCTGGAGGAAGTAAGCCAATCATAAAGGAGTGTTACACAGAATGTGTATTTCTCAATGTAAGATGATTTTATGCTGTAATGGGAAAAACCTGGAGAAAGTCTGACTCCTTAGATCCCCCATAAATATTGACTTTATTCGTAAATTAAGGGACTGGTCTTACGATTTAAAACACAGATAAAACAAGACAGCAGTCTAAGAATAACTTTTGCATCTTTAAGAAAGAGATTTTAAGCTTAACTTATGGACCATGGTGGGCGGGGGGAGGGAGGCCAAAGAAGTGGACAAAATACATAAAGTTTACCATCAAATACTCTTCTCAAATTGTCAGGCTTACCCTGCTTGTCATTTTTACAAACTCTAGTCTGATCAAGAACTCCCGTTTTAAGAATAAAACCACACATTTTTTAAAGCTAATGCAACAAGCCTAATACAGTAGTTCAACAACTGAAACCACAGCTTAGGGATCCAGAAGATAAAATTTGCTACATCAGCAAATTTGCAACCACACCCCTTAAAAAGAGAACTCAGGCTTTTCTCCATTAACTTCCATAAAGGGTGCCTCTTTCGTGTTTTAAAAGTCATTACTTCATTGCCCGGTCTGACCATGTTTATTTTGCAATTATACTACTGTTTGAAGCACTGTCTCGGAGTAAAGCTAAAAACTTTACCTATGCCTGAAACTCTCCGTTTGGGGGACGGCACCGCATACTACGGTGAAACTTAATCTTTGTTACCGGACAATTCATTATAAGGACATTACAGTGAATCACAATCATATTCTGTGCATCGCAAGGCTAAAACGCGTTTAAAAACTCAAGCAAAGCCCAATGATAACGTATTACTTCGAAAAACCAGCGTTTCCTCTGGGTTCTAAGAAAGGCATGACTATTAAAACATGGTCTGATGGCCAAGTCTCTAGGTTTCCCCCGATCACTTAATTTTTTTAAACAGAGAAACGGGCCTGTGTGTGGGCACTGGGAAACCCCTGCCGAAAGAGAGGTTTGGGCGGGGAGCGAACAGCCAAGTGAAAACCACCGCGGACAGCAAGGAGGACGCCTCGTTCTTTCACGCCCCCGGGCTGCGCGGGGCGAGGGGCAGGCACCTTACCTGCCAGCGGCCATAGGTGAGGAGGACCAAGACGATGGGGATGGCGGTGCCGGACATGGCGTGGGTGGAGGGCATGCTGTACTCGGAGTTGTAGAAGACCTCCAGCTTGACCACGGGCGGCGAGGCGGGCCGCGGCCAGCGGACGATGTCCTTGGTGCACTGGCCCAGGTACATGACCAGCACCCAGATGATCACCAGCCTCCGGCCCACCAGGGCGTCCAGGTTCCAGATCCAGAAGGGGAAGAACAGGATGTAGAAGAGCTCGTTGCCCAGCTCCGTGCCGAAGCAGAACAGGTAGTAGAGCGG